CTTCTAGTTCATTGACAGTGGAGTTCTGTACCTCTATACCTTCATTCAAAACAGTGATGCCAACCTCTCTTTATTGACAAGGAAATATTTTCATGATTTACTGGGTAAAACACAACAACAGTGTAACAACTATAATGTAAAACCATATCCCATTTACATAAAATTGTATGTGTGTGCTTTTCCATGTGTATGAATAGATACCTAAATAGGAGATCACCAGAAAGTGAACAGTGGTTATCTCTAGATTCTGGGATTTTGGATGATTTTTTTTAAGCTCTCTTCTTTTTTTGTATTACTTGGGTTTCTTTTTAAAAACATTAACATGAATCATCTTAATCAAAAGGAAAACCGAGCTATTTTAATTTCAAAGAATAAATAAGAAGAATGGTTGCATCCGCATGTGGGTGATAGAATTATTTATGTGGTTATGATGTAACTTTTGGAGATATATGCATTCCCATACAGCTCACCAGTTATTGGAGCAGAGGAGTGATGTCTTCAGACTAAGGGAGATTAAATAAGAACATGGTAGGATGTGAGCAGAGAGGTAGAGAAATCAGGAAATCTGACACGGTCATCATTGTGAGAGATGGAAGCTTTCCAGTATATGACTCTCCTTGGTTCATTATTGGCACCTGGAAAGATGGGGTGTAGATCTTTTCCTGATTCTTGCCCCCCCCCCCCACATGCTGGGTCTTGAGAAACTACCAGCCACTTAGTAAATTGGGGTATTTAAAAGTGGTATGTTAGCACCACCTAGTGTCCTCACGTTGTCATTACACCCCCACGTCTCGCTGGAAGCCTCCCTTCAGATTCCTTGTTTGATGTCCCTGCTCTGGTGGCATTTGTGCGAAGCCTCCGGGGGTTCTGCAGGGCAGTGGGAATGTCTCACTAATTTATTTCTTCCTTCCTGTCTCAGTCACACAAAGCGAATCTCTCCGGCTGAAGCGTGATTTGGCAGTTGAAGAGCAAAAGGATGCCTCCCTGTCAAAATCAATCTCCACTTGTTTCCAGCAGCCAGGTCCTTAAAGCTGAGCCCATGATTCTGTGGCAGGAAAGCCATCCTGCTACACTGGGCAGCCTTGGGCTTGGGGCTCTTGGTTAGAAAATACGGGAGTCTGGCTCGCAGTGGGCTGCTTGCCATGTAATTGATCTTCTGGGAGATGCCAGAACCCAGCCATGGTCCCCTGACCCGCGTCCTCCAGTGATGCTCACCTCCTGCACCCCAAACCTGAGCGTGGTCCTCACTGCCCCCCTCTCCCTCACACACTTCCTAGTCCAGCACATCACTCAGCCTCTCTCAGTTTTCCCCTGTTTGCTCTAGAACCCACTGTTCTCGTACCCTCTCTTTGGTCTGCAAGGCTGACCCCCTGCAGCACCTCTTCCCCACCTCCCTCCTTCACTCCTGGCTCCTCCACGTTCTGCTACCTGGAGGTAGAAGCTCAAGGGATCTTGAAAAGTGCAAACCTGCTTGCATTGTTCTCTGGTTCAGTTCTTTCTAGTGGCTTCTCAGTGCTCATAGGATAAAAACCAGACTTTGCATCTAGGGTGTGAGGCCTCTCACTCCCGCTGCACCAGTCACTGCTTGCCTCTTGCCTTGTTCTCTGGGCCCAGATCCAGCCCTGCTGGCTTCCTTCTGGCCCCTCAGGTCTTCTCCCTGCTGTAGTCCCTTGACCTGCCCTCTCATCCTCTCCCCCTTTCACCTCCACTCACCTGTCAGCTCTCGGGCAGATGTGCCTTCCTCAGGGGAGTGGCTCGCAAAGCCTGAGTCAGATCCTCCCCTAATGTGCTTGGAAAACACCACGTACCTCTCCTCACGTCCATCCATTCTGTCCAGGTGTGTAATACCAGCTGCACCTGTCATTCTTTGCTGAATCCCCATCTCCCCTTCCTTTAGACCAGTGGTTCTCAGCTGGGGGCGACTGGCTTTCCGGGGGACATCTGGCATTATCCGGGGACATTTTTGGTTGTCATAACTCAGGGAGTGCTCCTGGCATCTAGTGTGTAGAGAGCAGGGATGCTGCTAAACATCTACAGTGCACAGGACAGCCCCCCAAGAACAAGGGATCGTCTGGCCCAAGGTCAGTAATGCTGAGGCTCAGAAACCCTGCTGTTAGATTCTAAGTCCCCTGGAGGCAGGAATGATGGCCACTGGGAAAGAACACATTTGCAGGCCTATGTCACACTCTTAAAGGCCCCCTTGATAGTGTTGACCCTTGAATGGCCTTGTCTGTCGATAGATGGAGAACCACCTCCCTCCAAACCTGCCAGCCACAAGGGGCAAAAAGGAGAATTTGCCTGGCTTTTCCTCAGGCCCCTCATCAGCACGAGGTACTACCAGTCCAGAGGAAAATCATGCCTGTTTTTGTGTCTTTGCTTTAAAATTCTTTAAGGTCTCACTTTAAATTATATTTGTTTATACTCTGAACTATTTACAGCCAAATTGCATCTACAATTTCAGTTTATTGGAATACCCCACAAATCAAATGGCCTGGCTTCTTCAAATAAGTCAGCGTGGAAAGAAAAAGGCCGGGGGACTCTAGTAGATTTGAAGAGGCTAAGGTGTTGTGACAACTAAATACAACATGAGGTTGGGGGGGAGGGGGTGGCTAGAAATAACCATTGCACACTGTTAGGTAAATTTGAATATGGACTATATATCAGATATTATTTTTTTAAAGATTTATTTATTTATTTATTTGAGACACCAGGAGGGGCAGAAGGAGAGAGAGAGAGAAATCTCACTCAGACTCCCTGCTGAGCAGGGAGCACCACACAGGGCTCGATCCCACGACCCTGAGACCATGACCTGAGCCGAAAGCAAGCTACTGCGCCACCGAGGCGCCCCTCAGATCGTATTATTGAATTAATGTTTATTTTCTTAGGTATGATAACGCTATTATGGTTATTGTCTTAGCTCAGGCTGCTACAACAAACGACCATAGCCTGGGCAGTTTATAAACAACAGAAATCTTTGTTCTCATGGTCCCGGAGACCAGCAAGTGCAAGATAAGACACGGGCAGATTTGCTGTCTGGTGAGAGCCCGCTTCCTGGTTCATAGACGGCTGTCGGCTGGTGGGGTGAAAGGGTGAAGGGGTTCTCTGGGGTCTCTTATAAAAAACACAAATCCCCTTCATAATGAGGGCTCCACCCTCATGACTCAGTTCCCTCCCAAAGGCCCCACCTTCAAATATCATGACATGAGGGATGAGGCTTCAGCATATGAATTTGGGGAGGGGAATGCAAGTGTGCAGTGCAATGCAATTATAGAAGAGAATGGCCTTAGTCTGAGGGGATGCAGGCCCGAGTATTTAGGAGTGACGTGTCAGCATGTTTGCCACTTGCTTTCTGTGATTTTGCAGGAAAACAAGTGTGTGTGTGTGCCTGTGTGTGTGTGTGTGAGAGAGAGAGAGAGAGAGAGAGAGAGAGAGAGAAGGGTCCCTGAGCGTGGCCGTGTGCTGTCTTCAGTTTGCAGCTCTCCGCCCATCCACATGAAGGTGCAGCCTCTGAACCAGACGGCGCTGCAGGTGTCGTGGAGCCCGCCGGAGACCATCTACCACCCACCCATCATGAACTACATGATCTCCTACAGCTGGACCAAGAACGAGGACGAGAAGGAGAAGACGTTCACGAAGGACAGCGACAAGGACTTGGTAAAAGCTCCCTGTTGTGTTCAGGACGGCAAGGGCAGTTCGAGGGGCCCCTGCGCCCGCGCGGGGTGCGTTCTCTGTGTCGGCGCCGCTCCCGCCGCCCGCGGAGGGC